CCAGGCCGGTGCTGGACAGCTTGGTCACATTGTGGGCGCAGGTCGAAAACACACTCTGAAAGTGTGTGCTGGACAGATTGTTTGAAGCCTGCAACTTCGAGGGCAAGGTTCGAAGTTATGTGACCAGCGAGGCTAAAATAAACATGCAAAAACATTCGTCCACTTTATCTTTCTCGCCAGAAATGCCGGCTCAGCTGATCCCACACACACGAATAGGCATCGGTAGATTTTGTCCGAGAAGATGGCTAAAATGGTGGTTTATGGCGATGGATAGAAGGATATGATTCATCTGCTCGTCACTTGACGTCTGTCAGTCTCTGTCTGGCCTAGCAAACATTTGTCTATCTATCCTTCTGAATGCATGTCCATCCATATGTCTGTCAACGCATGTCCACGTGTCCGAGTGTCTAGCCGTCGACATGCGGACTCCTCTGCAGTACGTGTGTTCACATTTTCCTTGTGTGTGTGTTTCTGTTTGCTTGTGTCAAGAGGTGTGTGTGTGTGTGTGTGTGTGACCGGGTTGGACACTTTTGATGCGGTCGAGGGGAGGAGGATGAAAATGGCTGACGGTTCGAGTTTGGCCAGGGCCCAGTTCCTTCAAAGTGGACTAAAATACAGACAAGACTACACATGCACAGACAAAATAGGCCTTGAAGGTGTGGCGCAGAAATGTACGGAAACACGCAGTTTATGCTGGAGATTACAACAAAAGCCGTGACTAAGATTAACACTGATGAAAATGGTGAGATAATGTTGGCAGTAAGAGTGATATTAGTAAAGTTGGCTCAATACTCAACATTGCAGTAGAGTCACATGGATCAAAGCTAAAACATGTCCAAAAACGAAGCAGCATGAAGAAATGCTAAAGTTTCGCTTCTCATCAGTTACATGAAAAGCGGTCTGTCTACAAATTTATGGGACTCTACAAAGTTTGGGACGTTAAATGTAAGCAAAACGCGAAAGCTAGACTAAACGTGAAAGAAGAGATAATTGTTGAGATAAAGACAGGCATACAAAGACTAACACAAAACAAGAGGGTGGAAACCTAGAGAGAGAGAGGGGGGGTTTGCAGAATAGGAGGAGACTGAGAAAGCGGCTTCCGAAGTGGAATTTCGACGAATCCTCTTCACCCAATCGGCCAAAGGGGAGTGGATATTCACATGCCGAATGCTTTCTGAAGGTTTAGACGGCGATGCAGTTGATGATTCGCTTGCATCTGTCGTTGCATTTTCGCCTCATCTGCAGCTGCATTTCCAGAGCTCTCTCGAAGTCCCTTCCAGTCGGCGGTGCCTGACACCTTTTGCGGCAAAAGTCCGAAATGGGCGGACAAAGAAGGAAGAGATTCCACTCGGCGCTCAACTGCTTAGCCGCGCAGGCGGTGTTGCGTTCATGCGAGAACGGCTGGCCGGGGTTTGTGCTTTCACCGGACGACGGAGTGTAGTTGAGGAGAGGACAAAAACCGAGCGACCAGATGGGTTTGTGGGCAGCAGTTACAATTTGAACAAATTGAGGACCTGACACGGCGGTATCTTGGCCTCGAGGTGTACCGGCGCTCGATTGGTTGACACGTTGCTAGTACGAAAGTAAAGAGAAAAAGTACATTAGCTTAGCAACAGATATGAAGACCAAGAGGTTGTGACCTTTGGTATGGTCGCAGTTTCCTTTCTTTTGATTTATAGAAGTGGTTTGACCTCGTTGTCGCAACTTGGTCCTGTTGTCAGGGCGACTTAGTAGAACGCACCTAGTCCGAAGTAGTTGTCATGAT